CCCCAAGTAATGTACCTCTGATTATACTTATTCCCACGTACCCTGCATTACAATGTATTAACACAAGTTAAAGAATTTTTGTCAACAGTTTCGAATTGCAGTTGTAATATAAACTGTCTCGTTTTAAATTCTGTGCTAAGAGTACACGTGCGACAGTTGTTTAAGTCTCAAAATGAGTACAGGTGACTGTCAGTTTACAATGTCTATATGAATGTAAATGTGGCAGTTTACAATCTCTATATGAATGTAAATGTGGCAGTTTACAATGTCTATATGAATGTAAATGTGGCAGTTTACATTCTCTATATGAATGCAAATGTGACAGTTTACAAGCTCTATATGAATGCAAATGTGACAGTTTACAATCTCTATATGAATGCAAATGTGACAGATTTACAATCTATATGATTGCAAATGTGACAGTTTACAATCTCTATAAAAATGTAAATATGGCAGTTTACAATCTCTATATGAATGTAAATGTGACAGATTTACAATCTATATGAATGCAAATATGTCAGTTTACAATCTCTATAAGAATGTAAATGTGACAGATTTACAATCTATATGAATGCAAACGTAACAGTATACAAACTCAATATGAATGCAAATGTGACAGTTTACAATCTCTATATGAATGCAAATGTGACAGTTTACAATCTCTATATGAATGCAAATGTGACAGTTTACAATCTCTATATGAATGCAAATGTGGCTGTTTACAATCTCTATATGAATGTAAATGTGGCAGTTTACAATCTCTATATGAATGCAAATGTGACAGTTTACAATCTCTATATGAATGCAAATATGGCACTTTACAATCTCTATATGAATGCAAATGTGACAGTTTACAATCTCTATATGAATGCAAATGTGGCAGTTTACAATCTCTATATGAATGCAAATGCGGCATTTTACAATCTCGATATGAATGCAAATGTGACAGTTTACAATATCTATATGAATGCAAATGTGGCAGTTTACAATCTCGATATGAATGCAAATGTGACAGTTTACAATCTCTATATGAATGCAAATATGGCACTTTACAATCTCTATATGAATGCAAATGTGACAGTTTACAATCTCTATATGAATGCAAATGTGGCAGTTTACAATCTCTATATGAATGCAAATGTGGCATTTTACAATCTCGATATGAATGCAAATGTGACAGTTTACAATCTATATGAATGTAAATGTGGCAGTTTAAAATCTCTATATGAATGCAATATGGCAGTTTACAATCTCTATATGAATGCAAATACGGCAGTTTACAATTTCGATATGAATGCAAATGTGACAGTTTACAATCTCTATATGAATGCAAATGTGACAGTTTACAATCTCTATATGAATGCAAATGTGACAGTTTACAATCTCTATATGAATGCAAATGTGACAGTTTACAATCTCTATATGAATGCAAATGTGACAGTTTACAATCTCTATATGAATGCAAATGTGACAGTTTACAATCTCTATATGAATGCAAATGTGGCAGTTTACAATCTCTATATGAATGCAAATGTGACAGTTTACAATCTCTATATGAATGCAAATGTGGCATTTTACAATCTCGATATGAATGCAAATGTGACAGTTT